TATCTTTCCACTCTCTTCAATGCAACGGACGGGGTACTACTTCAGCAAAAGCGAGATTGCAAGTTTTCTCAGATTTTGCAACTTTGCGACCGCTGTGTGAGTACGCCCTCAGCCTTGGATTCCTAAAAGAAAAAGAGGGGTGTTCTAGCAGCGTGGCGAAATCTACAAAAGAAGGGGAGAAAATAGAAAAGAAACATCCCTTAGAACGTTATAGCAGGTAGATTCATGCACGTAAGTTCTTGTGAATTTGCCCTCAGTAAGAGCGTTACAGCGGTGCGTTCAGCTCCAAAAACGAGCAGAAAAGAAAAGAAAAGAAAAATAGAAACTACCCGTGGGACGGGAAAGCCGGTACACACATTACCATGACTAGTAGTGTGAGTGTGCCCTCTGTCAGCAGCCCGGTGAATTCGCCCTGCCTCACTGGCAGGGCACTGAAAGACAACAAAAGAAGAAAAGTCAAAGGGAGTGAAGCTCCATCTGAAGCTAGCCTAAGTAGGTAGTCGCATAGGTGATTCCAAGTTTTGATGTGACCACTGTGTCATTGGTGGCCGATTCCCCTTCATCTTCCCTCACACTACAGTCTCTTCCTGTTTTTTTTTTGGTTTTTAGTACTTTTTACAAACAGGCCCATAGGGCCCAAACATTTTCTTTTGGCAGAGCCTCCTCAGGACCTAAAAAAAATGCGGTGTGAATCATATCCCCGTTTTTCCCAACACTTTGGAAGGTAGCTGTTTGCACAGATCAAGGAATCCTCATTCTTCTGAACGTCACACAGTCAGGCCCTTCCCCTAACTCGCGAGCCCCCTGTGAAATCAGGCCCGCCCCCTGTGAAATCAGGCCCTGCTACTTCATTTTCGTAGGCTAGCTGGGTTTCGTACTAGTTTCTAAAAAACAAAACAAAACAAAAAAAAAAACTCATTTTGAAAACTTTCCATTCGTTGCTCCTATTTTGAGCGAGCACATTCCGTGTTTTCTTTCTCTATTTTAGAGCACCCGTGCACGAGGAAGATGCGCTGCCGGTTAACACACCGGCCGTTTTTTTTGGATGTGCGGGCGTCGCTGCACTCATGATGAAATCATGTCAGAGGTCCGGAGGAGGGCCTCAAAAGCACCGGCTCGTCAGATCTATAGCGGGAGGGGCAGGCACTGGCCATTCAGATCTATCGTGCATGCATGAAAAACATACATATGGCGGCCCCGAGACAGTGCATTTACCCCCCCCCCCCCCCCCCCGACACACAGACCCTAGATCTGCAGTCAGTCAGTGACAAGAACCAAAATTGAATGCCCTTATCGCAGCGAATGCAGACTACCCAGATGCGAACCCCTTTCTTCTTTCTTGCAAGGTTCTTTTAGGAAAAAAGACTGTTCATAAAGCTCCGACTGTTGATATATTTCTGTTATAATAAACTCTGCCCCATTTTGGAAAGTGCAAGCAGGATAGCTCAGTTGGTACACCCATGAATGGTTGTTGTAGTTCCGTTGAACCTGAGTTCAAATCCCAATGCATGCACTCAGAGTCTCAGACACAAGTAACACACAAGAAGAAGAGGGGGAAAATTCAGAGGGGGAAAAAAAAAAAGTTTGAAAGTGATACCTCAAGGGCATCACCCTTCTTCTTCTTTCTTTTTTTTTTAAGAGGGGAAAAAAAAAAAGAACTGGAACAGTAGTACCGGGGTAGCTCAATTCTCAACTTGTGAATCAGAAGAGAAGATTCAGAACAACATCAGACATGGGATGTGCATGTCTTGGAAGAAAAAGGAAAAGCAGTAGGGAGCACTGGAGCAGCATGTGCAGAAAACAATAAAAGCGCCAAGCCAGTGTGGGGAGAAGCATGTGCAGAAAGAAAACAGGTGTGCACAGGCAATCAGCGCCTGCGTGATACCTCACAATATTTACGTTAAGCGGCTCGCCACACCACTGTCGAAACGAAAAATGTACGAGCGCATCTTCCTCAGAACGTGGGAACATGCAGTCGTACTTTTTCCGTCTCGACAGTGGTGTGGCGAGGTCCTAAATCCCACCATGCCACATCCCCTTCACGGCCGAGTACCTCAGCATACCTCTAGCAGGTGAGATGGAGCTGGCAAGGGGTAGAAGAATGATTGGGTGCACAAAGTAGGTGGAAGTTGCTAGCTGTACGCATGGGACAGACGGGTGTGCAAAGATCACCGACGCCTGCTGGCGTCAGGTCCACAGCAACTTTCTAATCTGATTGTCATAAGGTACGCGGATTCCTTGTTCCCGCAGGCGACACTCCCCGCCAATAGAAAGGAGGAGACATCCACCAGGGAGGACAAGTACAGGCGGCTGCTCGTATCACCTTTGGCCGCCGGCTATCCCTTAACGGAGTTCGTCTTCTGGGTCAACTCGAGCGTGGCTGCAGAACCCTTCTTCACTGTCGCTGAACTGATGCCAGTCCTCCGGTGTTGAGCTGTCATAGCTCCCTGACAGTCCATCCTGCCCTTGAGGGGAGCAACCAATGCCGTCAGCTCAGTGAACAGTGGTCACGTTGAGCGTTGAGCGAGTCCTCAACGCTCCCCCCGAAACTGTTCATCGAGCTGACGGCAATGCTCAACCTGAACAACTGTTTATTGAGCTGACCGCATTGGTTGCTTGAACTCGCTTCTCTTCTTTCTTTAACGGACGGCGGCCTTGAGATTCAGGCCTCGTCGAAGTGACCTCAATTACTTTTTTCTGTTCACCTGCCGGCACCTGGATTCGAACTTGGGTCTGTATTTCAACAGATCATGGGTATACCAACTGAGCTAGCCCCATCTGTCGCTTCCCTTACGAGAAGGATTGACTATCAGGGGGCTATGCCAGCTCAGCACTGGACTGGGATCAGTTCTGCGACAGCGAAGAAGGGCTCTGCAGCAACGGGAGTTGACCCAGAAGACAAACTCCATTTTTTTTTTGATACAGCAGGTGCAAGGATGAGCAATCCGATTTGGGGTTACAACACAAGCTCAGCCAAACCTATTCTGCCCAACTGGATTTTAGACTGACACTGGTTAGAACACAAGCCCAGTTTTCGTCCCCCCCTCTTGCATGCTGCCACAAGTTTCAGGGGTCGGCAGCCGGAGGGAAATATGGCGGGCGGCAACAGCCAAAATGAGGCCCACGCCAGTTCGTTGTTTTTTCCTTTGGCATACAGGGCGTTGGGAACCCTGGGCAAAAGTGGCCGGGAAGTGCTGGTGGTCTAAGCAAAGCAGTACCTATCAGGCAATGCGTTGGGCAGGTCTTCTCCATGTGTGCCTCTAATAAGCAGTATGGCTGTACTAGGCCAGACATTAGGGTGGGAATCGGGACCCAAATACCCACTCATGTTTTGTCCAGAAAATTTAGATAAAATCACCCAATTGCTACCTACCTTCTTTCCCCCGAAAACAACGTACGGTCATTGTAGCTGTATTTAAATTTTAAACTGAAAGATACACCCCAAACACAGCTATAACGACCGTACCTTGTATTCGGGGGAAGAAGGTAGATGTGCAGTTTGACTGCAGGATCCATCATGTTATAATGTGACACTCGGCCTTTTGGCTAAAAATAGATAAGTGCACTGTATCTGTTCGACCATCGTCCATCAGGCCACATTAACATCCGATCAGTTTAACATCTGATCAGGTGACACTCGCTCTTTTGGGGCGCGCTATCATCTGCGCCCTTTTGAATTTCTGCCTCGTGGGAGGGTGTAAATTAGCGGGTCTTCTACACCCGATTGCTTTAGACACCTCGGAGCTTGTGTCGTTTTCTGTTTTGTCCTTCCCATTCATGCAGGATAGATAGGTTAATCACTTGTCTGTTTCCTCGTTCTTTTTCACAATCTTGCTGTAGGATCACGAGTTTGTATGTGTTTGAAATTGCACACACCTCCGTACGCTGGAATTTTAGGCACCACCCTCCTTCTCTGGCAGTTTCCTAACAACCTTCCATCACCCTTTTTATTTATGTATGCCACTCTCATATTTCGTTGATTACTCGTCTCTGCCCTGCAAACTGTTTTCCCCTCTGCCTGGTTACGCGCGCCACATCTTTGAACGCATGCGATCTTCTGGCCCTTGCTCTCTCCAGCAATCTCTAACTCTCTGCCCCTTGCTCTCTCCAGCAAGCTGGGGGAGCCATTGGTCAGTACAAATCATTTTTGGCGGAGGGTTACAGTGAAGTTCCTTACCAGGATTTGAAAGGAAAAGGAAATTGTACGCATAAGAATTTAATAAATAAATAAACATTTTTCCGACCCTGGAAACGCCCTGCGCACCGGGAAAAAAAGAGCGGCAGCAGTGAATCAGCGCAGGCCTGCTTTTGGCTGTGGCCCCACCAGCCATTTTGCTCCGATACCCCAACCCCAGAAATTCATGGCACGGCACAGAATTTAGTTCGTTCCCAGAATCAATCGACCCCACGTCAGAGAAAAATGGCTTACCGAGGTGCTGGTGGGGTTTAATCCCTTTCGACGTCCTTCATTACGCTTCGCTTCAAAGCACTCACTTTTTGGAGACAAGCGTGAATTTAGGGTCCGTTTGACGAGCATACAATAACTTTACACTCCYCCCAAACGGCAAAAAAAAAAAAAAAAAAAAAAGGAAGCCACTGTGTCTTTCTGCCCGGATTTGCCAGCCAGGTCGTTCGCAGAATCAATCCACCCCGCACAGACCCAACGCCCAGTCTGGCCCAAACACCCAGGCAACCTAGAGGCACTCAGTCTCTTTTCCAGGGCAAAAAAAAAAACAGTCAACTCATACAGCTTGATGGGCTACAGGGAAAACAGTCAATGGAGAAACTGACAGTAACTCTGCTCGATCATTTCACACGCACAAACCGCTCTCAATCGTTTCAGAAACTGCTCAATCATTTCACACGCACACAAAAGGAGCGGACTGGAAGAAGACGAGTCTTGTAAAACCACAGCTAAGCGCTGAGAACACAGGACTCAAAGAGAGAAGAGGGGGGACCAGAAGGAAGGCGTAGAGACAAAAGGAACGAGCAAAAAACGATAGTCTTAAATTCATGCAAACAATCGTCGGCCCTTAAGAGCAAAAGAATTACCGCACCCAGGTTACACCCCTCTATTTTTCCCTCCCTCTTCGGAGGAAAGCTTGAGGACCTCTCCTATGCAGGTCCAACTCGGAATCATTCGCTTGTGAAAGAATTCCTACAGAAACGAAAACTCATCCTCCTCCTCAAAACCCCTCAACCAGTCAACAAAACAACATGTTTACTACGGTCGAAAATGCCAGACGCACACGTGGATTTACAACCAGACCAACCCCCTCTGTGTGTGGGCGTGTGTGTGTGTGTCTGTGCGCACATGCTACACCAACTGATCAGGCTTTGCGTGTCTTTTGTGCATGCCTTCACGCTCCCTGCGGCTCTCGTGACAGCACCTGTCTAATTGAAGACATATGATACTCCCAATAAGGAGCAAGACCTCTAGCTACAGCCCGAACCGGACATCTCAATCCCACCGAAGAATATTCCACACAACTCGGTCGATCATTATTCATCTGTTCCTTGTCCCCCTGCTTGCTTTAACAAATCACCTAGCCAGCAATAGAAAATGCTCCTTGTTGCTAGCCACCTAGTTATAGTCGAAGAAGCTCCTTCATTTCTGCCGATCCTCCATGCTCCATCCATCAATCTGCCGCCTTTCCGCCCATCATCGTCCTCGATGTACACGAGCTGCAATTGCCAACTCCCCTAAACAGGGGTTCTGTTTTCAGACGAAAATCATCCTCGGTAACCGTCCCACCTTCATGCCGCTCTCTCTCCCACTGGGTTCTTTCCCCATCTACCTGGTGCTCACTCGTACGAGTTCATGCCTTCCCCTTCACTGCTGCGCGCAGCCCCCCCGGCTTCTCGGCAGCAAAAGTACTTACCGTTGAGTCAGTCAGTCGCTTGCACCTCTTCCTCTGGTGTGCAGAATGCAGCTTCCAAGGCAAGAATCTTCACTGCCACAACAGACCCTTGAAGTCAAGATATCGCAGCAGCGAGCAGAAGATTCCCCAGCACTAAGCAGCAGTTCCTTATCTGTTGACCCAAACAACATCGTCTTCGGTTTCCCACTTTCCGCCCTACCTACATACATATACTATCTTAACTAGCAGCCAACAAGAGCGATGTCCATGTAAGGCAGCAGACAAGAGAAGGCCTAAGCAATGGCAAATGCCAACAAGATTCAAACAAGTCTGTCCGCATGCCACTCATCCTCTCTAACCGCACAACCTAACCCTTTTACCAGCTTCCCTACAAGACGATCTTCCTGACATCTAACGAAACCTAAACGAAGTGTCAATGGCTTCCAAATGCTGATCAGCATTGTCTCACCTGTTGCAGCAAACTTATCTACCATCTCGCAGGCTGCGCATACATACTGACCCGATTTGTGTGCATCGTTGAGCACAATACTGCCCAAAAACAAGACCCTCCCAGGCCCTCATTGTCTACCTGTGTCTTCAAACATTGTTTCCTTCTCCTCCCAACAAACCTCAGAACGAATAGCTACTTCACTGGCTAATCTAAGACTCTCTCTCTCTCTCTCTCTCTCTCTCTCTCTCTCTCTCTCTCTCTCTCTCTCTCTCTCTCTCTCTCTCTCTCTCTCTCTCTCTCTCT